GTTAAAGAAAAACAAGTTTATTTTTAAGTTTCTCCTATTCATAATTTTAAAGAATTCATGTAAAAAAATCATTAGTAAATGTTTTAACTGAAGGCTAACAACAACTAATTTATGAATAAAATATTTACCTTGCATAATAATAATAATACAATTTACATTAAAATAAAAATGAACTGAAATTAGATTAAATAGAAGAGAAAGTCGTGTTGTCAGTTAAAGCAAGATAAGATCGTCGTGTATCAATCGTAACGGCTTTTTCAACGCATAACGGAAAAGCCCGAGCGATCTTCCGACTATGTGTAGGCCGAAAGAGCGGAGTCACGTGAGGTGAAACATTATAATAAGATACTATAGGTAGTTGTGAAGATAATGAGAATTCTTTACAAAAATCGTAATTATAGATTTATTTTTATAAGAATGTTTATCAATAAAAAATTATAAATTAAAAGAATCAAAAATCTTTTTTGATTTTCTCAATATCTTTAATACACATTGTAAATTCTTTTCTTTTTACCATAAACATTTACTGTGTACTTTTTTTATAAAGACTGTCTCAACGCGAAAGTTAGTTGCACTTAATAATTTTTATTTAATTAAAATTTTTGAAGACCTTAAAAAAAGACCCATATTAGAGGTATTTTAAAAATAGATTTTGTCTGGAATGAGGAAAGTGGATTTTAATTTTTCCTTTTTTTCTCAGGGATGTTTGGGTTTACAGGGATAGTGATGAAGGACCAAAAAGTATGTTTGTTATGCTAACTTGTTACAGGGATAGCGATGAAGGACCAAAAAGTCTGTTTGTTATGCTATCTTGGAATATTTACTTCCTATTAAATTTGAATAGAGTTAAAACTGGGAACTGACAAAATTAAATAATTATATACTGAACAAATAATTATTCAAGTTAAATAGAAAATATAATAAGGTGTTAATATATATATATAATTTGATATTTAACAAAACTCAATTTTATTTATAAGTAAATAACACAGTTACGTGAATTTTCACGTACGTCCCCTAAAGAAAATATTAAGTTGTAATAACTTTAGTCACATAAAAATACGAATTAAAAATAACACAACTTTAAACGGCATCACATCTGAAGATAGAGAATACAGCACTTCAGTTCTGTTAGAAACATAATGTAAGTGAAACTGGATAATTCATGCTACTAGAATTTCTGAAGAAGAAGAAGAAAAAAAAAAAAGAAATTAAATATAGAATCATCAAAAGTTCCAAAAGTGTGCTTAATTTCGACAGCTTATACGTGGAAACTTCGGAATAAACAGATTTTTGAAACCTGTGTTTTTAAAGGAATTCAAAGTTCCAGGTTTACGTCAGCATTGTTGACTGGTGTTCCTGCCAGTGTTGGTTGTCGAAACAAGTTTTTTTATAATTTCAAGTTTCATTTTTTAAATTATACACACAATATTGTGTTCTGTTACTTTTATTATCGCATAAAACATCACGGAAAATCTAGAGATGCTTTCCAAAGTTACGTGTACCGTTTCAGCCGTTGACCATTACGTTGATAAAGCATCACATACACGGAAAACTCCCTACGCTAGTGAATCACTTTGACATAGGTTTACATTCCTGGCTTTAACTTTTAAGTCAGCCACACAGATTGTTCATTTCATTAAATTACTTGGATCCACTGACGACACTAAGGTGTTGCTGGCTGTGAGGAGGATGCTACTGCTTTATAAAAATAATTAATTAATGAACAAACTGCATACAATGTTTAATTACAATAAATGCATGTTGGTTATCATAATTTGGATTACAAATATAATTTTGATGGTAAGAACCTTAACAGTGTTATATGGAATGAAACATTTGGGTGTTCTAGTTTATCAGTCACTTAACCCCCCTTCCATAATTTACCCAAAATAACTTTGCCACTCTCCACATTTCAAAACATACTTGCCAGAATTAATTCATTCAAACCCTATCTTGCCGTATTTCTTATTATTTGCCCACATTTATTCATCTGTTATAATCAGTGCTCACTAGGTGGTATTGAAAATGCTGTTTGTGCTAATGTCTAATGAATTTATTCTGAATTATTTATCATAAACGCTAGAGAAAAGTATTCCTATCATTTACTATAATTTCATTGAAATAATTATATCATGTATAAATCCAGATATGTAACATTTATTTATCGAGTAAATTTTGTGCATAAATATAATAAATAACAAATGAAATTTTGTGTCATTAACATGTAGGTATAGACTATCAAAAAGTTAAAATAAAAATCCTGGCTTTTTAACTCATTTCTTGACATGAAAGGGTTAATACATCCAAACATCTCCTTAAAAAAAATAACAGCTAGAAGGGATCTGATTGATGTTTTAAACAGGGTACTTAACCTTGGGAATGGGTTCCCTCATATGTGGTAGGAATTTAAGAAAAGGCTTGATAAATATTTGACTAATAATGGCTGGTTTTGAGTATTTTTATTTTAAAGTTTCGTTCAGGGGACAGGACAGCCTAAACAGACCAATAAGTCCCTTGTTGTCCTTAAGTTTTATGTTAATACATTTCCCACAATGCCTTATGTGGATATTTAGATGTTATTTTTGTTTAAAATTATGTTAACAACAAACTTGAGTTTTATTATTATGTTAACATATTCTTCTATTTTTATGTTTTGTCTGTTTATGCTACTGTCTTTATGGAACTAATCCAACGTTTAATGACGTATAATTGTGTAAGATGCAAACTGTGTTTCTTTGTGGGGTTGTGTTAAGTCTCATGGTGACCTTTAAAATGTATCGCTAAATAAAATAAAAAATTAATGGTTGAATATAAAATTCAAGGATTCGTGGTTCTACACTGGTGAAAGACAAAAATGATATAAGGTTAAATGGGGAGGAGGAAAAGCCTAAGTTCTGTAGGTGAGAGGCAAGACAAAATTTGCAACTAATTCATTTTTTGAGGCCTAAAACTAAAAGCATCTGATTACCTTTATATTGTTTGTTGTTAAGCGCAGTGTTACACAAAGGGATATTTATGCCACCTGGGGGACCTGTTACTCTTAGAAAATTTTCTAAATCTTAAGTACCTTAGTAAGTCTGAAAAAAAAGATAATTTATTCCTAT